ATCACGAGATCCCGCTCAAGACAGTTCACCGTCTGTTTGTTTCCTTGCGAGGCTTTACCTTTCTTAGTTTGCAAACGCCAGGAACCCCCCCCCCCCCGCCACCCCCCCCCCCCACTCCCCTCCACCAGTCCGCGTTACAAAAACCGGCGAAGCAAGGTTGAGGTTAAAATTGTTGGCTGCCATCCTTTTTTATTCATTTTATATATATGCTGGTGTGAAAATCTGCATTTTAGAGAATAAAAACATCAATTGCTACAGCAGAATGGCACGTTTCATTACTAACATTCACACATCGGTAGAGATTCAATCAGCCAGTCAAAATTGCCCTTTTTATGCAATTGGTTTGTAATTCTAAGGTTATCTGTGGTGTCTGTCGCGTAAATGTAGGAGTGTCAATTCAAATTAATTTCTGAGGCACTACTCAATACCTATGTTAGGCTGGGCCCCTCCATGCTGATTCTTCCCCCACCACCAGCCAGCAATTTCCGGCTGGAATATTACAAAACGATATCAGAAAAACGTTAACTATAAAACAAAACCATCTTCTCTGGACCTAATTTATTAACCATGATCCATGGGTTGCTATCACACCCAACCCTCCGCATAACAACTGACACTTCTATCATTATGCCACCACCACATGTTGGGTTGGGCCCCCTGGATGCTGATTCCTCCTCCCTCAGCCCACATTTCCAGCTGGAAAATTCCAAAAAAAAAATTGAAAAAGCTACCAGTAGCACAAAAGCATCTGAAGATGGTTTAGGGAGCAGCGAACAATTATGCGATACACCCAAAAATATGGATGTTTCCCAAATGCGCACACGTCTTCACAAACTTAGGGGAGCGATGGAGCCCTGAACTGAATAAGAAGTAGAAACACCCATGATTTGAAGATATATGTGACTGGTAGCCATTCTCAATCAGGACAAGCACAAAAAGGGCTTAAATTGGCGTTTAGAACTATTTTCACATACTGCTATTATCCTTCATGAGGATTGCCATCAGGCTTCAGCATCAAATCCACTCTTTGAAAGGGAAGAAGGCTGGTCGCTTGTGACTGCTTCAGTGAGTTAACAGCCTTTTCGGTGTCCTGAAAAGGCGGTTTGAATAATCAAGGGTCAATTCCTACCTTGATCGGATAATCCCGCCGACTTACCCTCAACTGTCATTGCCTCTCATCGCTGGAGACAGGATACTGAATCCCGGCACAGCCAACGAAGTAAACAAGACCAGAAATTAAATCCTAGGCAGGTATTCATGGCACTGCAATGCGAATGCCACTTGCAAAGTTGCAGTCCATTGAAAGTCACAGCCCACCTCATATCAGTCGCATAGCAACAATTGAAATATGCCCTTGCGGCCAAATGAATTCCCATATCTAGATCGTTTTCAGTGCTTTATGATGATGTCTAGTTTGGGCCACTGAGAGTGGCTGTTAAAAACGGCGAATCGGCCAACCGGCCGGACCATTAGAAATATACTGATTTGCCGCCGGCCTGTCACCGAGCCGGCCGACAAACTAAAAAACATAGGATATTTTTGGCGCCGGCATAGAAGAAAACCTAGAAAAGATGCCGGGGTGCCGTAGAGTACGGTAAAGAGTCTTCACCGAAACGTTTGTCGGTGCTGTGTGATGAAATTTTACCTTGGAGGCATCATATCTACGTATGGAGACCTCATGTCGTGTTCTGCTTATGTGCTATATTTTTCGTCTTGGCAGTCACGAAAATTTGGTGTCCAAAATCAATTTTGGCACCAAGCTTTGCGTGAATATTGGCATTTTTGTCGCCGACCTTGTCCGCGAAATCGGCTGGTATTACCACGCCTGCCTACACGACAATCGTATGCTGCAAAAAGATGTGACGGTCATTTCTCCTACAATAACGAATTAGACAACCCTTACGTATATCCGACATGACATGTCCTGCAAAGATTTATACGTGAGTCAGTGTTACACGACAAAACTTACGCTTGAACTTAGCAGTCATTATGTTTACTGCCAAAGTTACAAAATCTACTTGTCAGCAGTAGTACTTATATGGCTACTACTTATATACGACATTTGGTCACATGATACAGGCCACACTTTGGAAATTATGTCCATCAATGCTTCTGCTCATAGGTAGTAGAGAAAGAAGTAGACGCCTCACCAAAATGGCGGAGGGAGCAAACGCATTGGGCGCTTGGTCGGGAGAAACCAGAGTAGATGTGCTCATTGCATGGTGTCCATGCATGAGTACTGGTGCAAACATTCGACCAACAGAACCAATGGTGCAGCCAAAATCTTGGCCAGAGGGGAGGGGCACAGGTTTGAGGCAAATACCTTAAAGTTAAAGGGGTCTCCCAAAGATGCAGTCCCGGATATAACACACTTGTCAAACACCTTTGCTTTGTTTTATAACCATTTTTACTTTTCACAACTGAAACAAAACCGAGGAGCCGTCAATGGACCAATTCCATTTGATTCCATGACGTCAATTAAAGGAAATGTGCCACAACTATGGCGTTTTGAACTGAAATGGCAATCTCAAGGACCTTTTGATGCAGTTCACGGTCATGTCCTTTTTTAGACCTAAAACGATCTGGTTCCTGAGTTACACGATCGTTAAGTGCGAAAGGGTTTATTAGTGCGAATATTATTATGGTTTTGGTTGGTTTATGTTTTAATTGCTCATTTACTGCAAAAAGGCTTCTTGGAAGCCAATTTGAAAATCACATTGGAATTAATGACGCCATAGAAACGTTACGCGATCGCGTTCATACTACGGCTGTTTTCTGCTTATGGTCAAAACAACATGGCCGCTGAGACATTCGCATTCGCATTCGCAAAAGCGATGATGCGGCGCGTATCATACTATGCGCGAAAGATGATTGGCTGTTAGCAAAATTCCGCTGCTGAACGGGTGTCACAAACGCAAGCGTGAGCACTTTTGAGTTGTGCGGCACTCGTCGTGAACGGGGCATTTTTCTTCATTTCTAGGTCATAGGTCAATGCTATAAAAAAGAACGCCACTGTCAGCAAAAAAGTACGGTGCCCAAAAAAGGGTACTATCCCTAAAGTTACAAAAAAGACGCGACGAAAAAAACTGGCATTTTCCCCCTGCTGGCGTTTTTTTTTCTTCTTCTTCTTCTGACGCATTTCTTCCAGACAGCTTGGTTCGCGCTTTGTGCACCGCAGCACAGAACCTTGCACGAGTTTATGGGTTAGCAGGCATTGTAAAATTAGGGAAACTTACAGTAATTTTAGACGTATATTTTACCATATATTTCACACATATTCAAGACAAATTTAAACCTTCAACAGAAAATTGTGTGTTACAAGTACAACCTCTTGAGCTGCATTACCATGAACCCCGTTGGGACTTTGTTTTGAAGGGAGATCACGGTGAAATGCGGTGTTATAACCGAAAATCTGATCGGAGATTGCAAGAAAATCTGCTATTTGCTAGCCCCGCGAACTGTGCAAGTGTGAGATTACACTTTTTTGACAAAAGAGTGTGAATCAGGAACTCGAAATGTGTGTGATCACTGGTGGTGAGTGCAAGTGACCTTTATTGATCTTGATATGATGGGGACTGTGCGTGCGAGGTTTGTACCTCTAAGAGAGAACATTTTTCTGGTATTCTTAAGTCTACTGACTCCCAATAAAATGTGATATATTGATACCTGTCCCTACCCTTATGTTTGTGTTTGAACATGACAAATGAATGCCAGCAAACCAAGAGAAACACTAGCACTTATGCTGCAGGGTCGTACAAAGGCAAGCTGGTACTTCGTTATGATCTTGCCAACATTTTGAGCCCATTGAGGTATTACAGCATGTAATTAATCCATTGCATGCCATGATATAATTATTCGTTTTGGCAGTAGGGGCTGGTGCGTACAGCTCATTAACACGTGCCCGGGTGGCCGGCTAGATATCCTTCGCACGGGTTGGGCGGTCAATTTTACCCTCCCCTGAGATCTCGGAAACTAAGAAAGTTAGAGACACCAAATTTACCGGGTGTGTTGACCTGTACGTGAACTCACTTATGTCAAGGCTTCAGGTTCCTAGGTGATGACCCTCGGGTCAAAAAGGTCAAACAAGGTCAAGTTCCAGGTTGGTCTTTTAAGTGCCCCAGAGCCTAGATAACCGTCATTAAGCAAAAGGTCACATTCTTATTCAAGGTTTGTTTGATCCTTTGAAGGTCAAGATAACGAAAATCATACAAGATTGCTTTGAGTTTTGCATTTGACTACGGACAAAAATTACGCTAGGCAGTATGCTCCTAAAACAAAGTGCTGACCCGGGTCATCTGAGGTCAATAACCCATTCTGACCTGTAAGAAGTTCATGGAAGATGTATATGTGGTTACTGCTATCAATAAACTCGAAATGAGCACCAGAAACTATCCCATACAGCAAGTCCTAGAGTAACAAAACAGGTTGGTTCTGACCTTGGTGTGACCTTCATACCTGACCTTAGGTCAATTTAATTTGCTCATTCAACTGTTGTGTTGCCTACGAAAGCATCTCAGAGATGTATGACTTCGTATAATACCCCGTTGTTGGATCAGGTTGTGGGATTCCCTAGAAATTGCCTTCGCTGAAACCGTGGTCTGACTTGGACCTGCCATAGGTCAGCGACCTTACAACGTACATCTTAATTGTTGGTATCAAACGATCCGCTATTTCATTATCTACAGCTATGCAAAATTTGACGAGGCTACGCCGTGCCGTTCGGAAACTATTCTAGAAAAACCTTCGGTGAGGGGGTCAATTTGCCCCCCCCTGACCCGTGCGCGTGTTAATGCATATGCTCAGTATAGGCTCACATTATATGGCTTAACTAACTTGCCTCTCCCTAAGAACTCTGAGAATATAGAGCTGTATTATTAGTAAGGCACATTGCGCTGTT